TAATTGCTTGATGGGCTACTGGGCTTGATGAGTCATAAGTCTATCAACTATGAGCCCACATAAACAGATCCAGCGCACCCTGGAGATCAGCCATGTGCTACAGTGCTCAGCAAGTGACACTACTTATCCTTTGTCTTTAATTACCCCAAAAATTCTTGGAGATTAAACGGATCCACCGCTTGGAGTTCAGGGAACAATGGAACATGGAGATAAACCAGATAGGGATACCGCATCTCTCACGCCATTAACGAAACAGTGAAGCTGGGACCTGCCTCTGCCTGATTCTGAAGTCAATTAATGCTCTCTTCTAGTTCTAGTTCATTCTCCTGGAAAGGACACTCTAATTACCACATTCATTCGTTTTCCATCACCAAAAAGCCAAGTTCGAAGTTTGAACCGAGTGTCCGAGTCCAATACTTGAAAACTGACCAAAAACAGGCCCCCTAACCTTTTCAAACAGAGGACACACACAAGTGGCTTCCATCACACAACTTACAAAAGTGGAAACTGTACTGCTATAATTCTCTTGTGGTTGTTGTCAGTCAGGGTTCACGAGAACCAGAATTCAAGATCAACACCAAAAATATCTCCAGGGTGGATGATCAAAATGGATAAACCACAGCCACAAACACACACACCCCTGGCCCCCTCCATTCTATTCTTAATTCTCTCAACTGCCACTTATCACGACCACATGTAATCCTTTTTTTTATGTTTCGTTGCTTCCTTTGTTAGACATATATAGCTTATTTAAATATTCCCTCTCATTTCTAAAACTACTTAAATATATTTGTTGAAAGCATTTAGCCGTTACCATTGATGGGAAAAAAAAAATAAAGATAAAAAAAATGCCCTTCCCACCATAGAGAAAAGGAGAGAGGAGGAGTGGGCAGTGGCCAGACTTGTTAAATTATCAGCAGTGGAGAAGAAGAAAGAGATAAAGAGGAGGAAGGAAGAAAAAGAATAGAGTTTCAGTGACCATGGCTCTAGTGTCTCAAAATCTGCTGCTGTTAAAGCACATGGGACTATGGGAGTGCAGAATATTTGTTGACACAATGAACCATTGTCTTTGATCGCCGGTTCTTTTCCCAGGCAGCAGAAACAAAACAAAAGAATAAAGAAACAAAAGCTTTGGAAATGTGCCTGCTATGAAGATGTTTTTTTTTCCTATTTACAACATCTCCATTTTTATACTCCAAAGCTTTTATTATCACATATTTTGAACTCTGTATTTTATGATGAGGAAGATGAACAAAGACATAGAAAGGGAAGAAGAGAACCAGGGAATTAGAAGAAAAGATACAAAGAAATAAGAGGAGGAAGAAAAAAGATAGGAGGGAATGAAGAAGGGCAACCTCCATGAGATGGGGTTTTGGTTCCATAGTTCAAAGAAGGGTATTTTCACCAGTGGAAAGGGCAAAAGTGGGATTATAACATGTAAGATGCCCGTAATATCATGTGTAAATAGCCCTAAACATTTCTCTAACGGGGGAGTTGGGATCACCTATCAACAAAAAACGTTCCAAAACTCTCCAATGCCCCCACAGAACATCCCCACCTTGTATTGCGAACATCTCCCGATAATAAGTACGGAGATAATGAGACATCATTGGGAGATGTTCCCAATACGAGGTGGGGATGTGCTGTGGGGCATTGTGGGGCGCCCCCTTGTGGGATGCAGATGTGAATTCGATTTGACACCACACGTCACCGTAAAAATAGAACCCGCCATGTATGAGATGTGCAGTGTCAGATAATGTTGGGAGGGTATTGGAATGTTTTTTGTTGACAAGAGATCAAAGGCAAAGTAGGCCATTAAGTGTGCCTGGCCCTGAATCTATTAAAATACTGCTCAGAATTACAATCAGGGCATAAATCTATAAGGCATTGCTTGGTTCGTGGAATAAGGGTTTGGAATCGGAACCGGTATGGGCTATTCCGATTCCAATTGTTTGGTTGGGCAGATCGGAATCCCATTCCCATTCCTGCTAGAATGCCATTCCTCTATTTGAGGGAATGGCCATTCCCTACCCCTCCCTTGGGAATGAAATCTCATTCCTGCTTATTACAATTCTCATTCCCATTCATGTCTTGAACCAAACAGACTATAAGATTAGACCATTCCGATTTCGATTCCAAAGGATTCCCATTCTGATTTCCAACTACAAACCAAGCAGACTGTAAATATACATTCTAAGAATACTAAGGTGGCGTTTGATAAATCTGAACATTCGGATCTAAAAAATTAAAAAGATATTAGAAGTGTCTTAAATCTGAAAAGAGGCATAGATGCTTTTCTACTTTTTAGAAGATCTGAATCTGTGTTTGTTTGTGTTGGATCAACCCTTTACCATCTGAAATTTACTAATTTTACTATTTTACGCCTAAAACATACTATTTGGAAATGTTGAGTTCAATTTGCATTATCTTATACAAAATAATTTTCAATCTCAAAATAATATTGAAACAATACAAATAAAGAATAATAAATTAATAAATGAAACAATTAAAATTAAAAAAATAATGACTATAAAAATATTCAAATAATTAATAATTACTAATTAATAATTTACACAAATAAAAATTAAAATAATTTTTAAAAATTAATGAAATAATTAAAAATTACTAGTTAATATAAATAATTAATAACTAATAAATAACACATAAATTTAATAAAAAATATTTAAAATAATTAATAATTAATAAAAATATTATTATTATTATTCACTGAACCAGCACTTCTGCATGTTGCAACGGCGATGGCGGTGGTGGGAAGATAGGAGAGAGAGAGAGAGAGAGAGAGCCGGGAAGACAAGGGGAGAGAGAAAGAGAGAGAGCTACTGCTACAACTTGCAGCGGCAGTGGCAGGAAGATAGGGCGGAGAGAGAGAGAGAGAATTGTTGTTGCAAGTTGCAGTGGCGATGGAAGGAAGCAGAAAGACAGAGAGATAGAGAGAGCTGCCGCTGCAAGTTGCAGCGGTGGTGGTAGGTAGATAGGGGGAGAGAGTGAAAGCGAGAGTGAGAGAGAGAGAGAGAGAGAGAGAGAGAGAGAAACCAAACGAGTTTGATAGCACGAGAAGATAGGGGTAGCACATGTCATTTTCAAAATATTGTAAGGGTATTTTGGACTATGCATTGACTTTGAAACACCTTTGAGCGCGTTAAAACCAACAAATGATCCCTAATAAGTGTGAGGTTTGAAAAGTAGCATTTTTAGATTCAGACATCTAAAATTGCAATCAAACGACCCTTAAGAGTCCTTCTAACCTAGATGTGTGGTGTCTTGTCAAGCGGGGTCACCCAACAAAATATATTTAAGTAGTTTTGAAAATTAGGTATATTTAAATAGTTTAATAAAAACATAGAATCTATTTAAATCATTTGCCCTAATTTTAATTAATGTTAAACTAGTTGCAATTATAAAATGTATAGAAAAATTAAACAAGATAAGATAAATGGATAAACCACAGCCTCACCTCCTTGTTTCTTTTCCTTCAACAATGCGAGACCCACCTACAAATTCCTTCACTTGATGTGATGTGCCATCCATCATTGAGAGGCTTTACTTTCACCATCTAACATTAGTTTAAGTATTAAGACATAGGCAGAAGATATCATCTTCGACGAGTGGTATTATACCAAGGTACCAAAACGATCAGGACAAAACACCATGCAGATCCCCAGTGTGTTGTCCTCCGGCAGATGCATTGACGAAAATGCCCACCTGAGTATCAACGCAGGAGCAGCTAATGGGTTAGATGGGTTTGTCGTTTCCTCTCCCATTATCCTCCTCCCAAAGGCGAAACCAATATCATTCTTCCTCTTTTATTCAAAACATTTCATTTGTTATACTTGTATTGCCAACATTACCTATTAGGTTAGATGGTATTTTTATCTATAACATAGCACCAACTTAGTATCATATAGGCATTTCTTTGAAGTGATATTTGGTTAAATTATTTATCAAATAAATATTTGTCTTGTTTATATAAAAATTATCTTGGTTTGAAAGAAAAAGTGGGGAAATCCATATAAGATTTGTTAAGGTTTCTCTATTTTCTTTCTTTTCCCTATTTTTTTCCTTTAAACCAAACATAGCCTTCATGTTTTTCCAAATCTTCAATACATTTTTCTTGGTATTCACTTTATGTGAGGCTTAATCACGTTTAATAGTGCCTAGCGATCAAAAAATATATAAAAAAAAACATTTTTTTAATTATTGTCCTCATTTTTTTCAAAATGAATGCCGTACATACAGAACATTTATTTAAAGAAACGAACAATATTACAAGACAGCTCCTTAATCAATCATAACTTCACAATCACAAAAAAAATCAGTGGTGCCAGTTTTCAGATCTCCTGCCCACACAAACTCTGTTTATGTCTACTAATATAACATTGTAGTAGTCACATATGAAGAACATCAAATTCTTATTGTGCAAAGAAAAATATTCTCAATTCACGAGAATAGTGTATTGTAAGTATATATGGGCAGAGTTCTGATGGGCAGGAGATCCAGAATCGTGCCAGTGTGCCACGAAGAATCTAAATTCTTGGTAGACTACATCAAAAGCAGTAATTATCGGCCAATACCCGACGTACCCGTAAAGTTCGGCACGTAATGAGACATACAATCGCAGTAGCATACATCAACAAGTCAGCTTCTTTTTGGCAAGTTTGTTTGTGGAAAGGGCGAAAGAGGGCCTTAACTCGCAATGAGAGCGAATACCAAAAGAACCAACGGTAGCCATGCACATCCTTTCTCAGGGTCCACATGCTTTTGGCTTCAAGTGTGCTCTAAAACTAGCCACGGCATTCTTTGACACTGACGATTTGACGAATACAAAGTTAAAGATGCGTACATAATCTTTTTAAATGAGAAGATTAGCGGATGAGAAGGAGAATTTTATGGGAGAAAAATACGATATTAAAATACGTACATAAATCTTTTGAAATAAGAAGATTAGGGGATGAAAATGAGATTTTTATGGGAGAAAAATCAGAAAACCACAAAACCACATATTGTTCCTTGCACATAAATATCTGATAATACACGCTGCTAATACATCGTTAGAGAAGGACTAATAAGTAATAACTCAGATTTGTGTTAGAAAACAAGATTAATCAATCAGTGAAAAAAATGAAAAACAACTAATTCAGATCGGAGGGCTACTGAGTGTCGGAGGAGAATACATCAGCGGTTCTAGGATCTTTGTTCAACTTGCAGAGATTCCAAGGATTGTTGCGGGGGTGTCTCTACCGACAAGTTTTTCTTGACGGAATCTCTTGAGTGAGCTGAGGTGCGGCGCCGATGTCGACTCTGTTACGGTTCCCTTCAGGTGCTTAGAATGTGTGAATAAAGAACAATAAGATGTGGCTTCGTCGTCGAGACAGTCCCGGTCGGCCGGTGACACCAACGCCCTGTTATTGTTGTCGCTGTTTGGGTGGAAGGACGAGTAGCCAAGGTCATTCTGCATCAATAAAATACTGACAGTTAGATATGGGGAAATCCTCGAGCCAGTCGGTTTTATGTTCAACGCTGGCTGAAGCTAAATAGGAACTAGGAGATAACAAGTCTTCATAGTATCCCTATAACAAAGCTCTCAAAATCAGGGGAAATAATTCAAAGTATTGATTATTCCTTGCGGGTTTAGTTGAATTAATACGAGCAGAAAAGGTTTGAATCGGAGGAAAGCGAATACAATTCTACTTGAAACCAAAAACCTTTCATCTTCTTTTTGCTTGATCTTCTGAAATTCAGACTTACTAGCTGAAACAGAGCATATCAGAAAGAGAAGTAAGCGAAACATACTTGGTAACAGAGATCTGCATTCTCACGCATTCGTTTAAACGAATACGAAATCCCTGATTCCGCACCACGTCTCCCACCGCTACTTGAAGATTCATCACTACTCGAAGAACTGGCGGCTGGAGGTGGAGGGGTAGATGACCAAGGAACCACCTGGTTCTCTCCGTCGTCATCATTATCGTTGTCATCACCGTCATCATCGTCATCGTCGTCCTCATCGTCTTCATTTTCATCTTCATCTTCATCTTCATCATCGTCATCGTCATCGACATCATCTTCATCATCAGCATCTCGATCAATCTCATCTTCGTTCCTTCCTTGGCTTTCGTCATATGTTCTAACCACCACTCCTCCAGCTCTGTCCTCCCTCCCGTGGGAACTATTAACACACTTCTCACAAACCGAGACCGTAGGACCAAGCTTGGCTCCCGAGGCCTTCCATGGCGTCGGAGATTGACAGACATGGCAGAGGAGACTCCTCGAATGTCTGGCTACGAGGAAATTCGCACCGTGAACCTTGGCATCGCAGTCCCAACACAGACTCGCTTGATCCGATTCGCAGAACATCCTCGCCGGATGGTTGCACAGCTCGCATTCCTTCATCGCTTCTCCTACAAAATCCTTTCCAAAATCCCCCAAATCTCGATCACTTCCCAGCTCCGTTTTTCTATTATCCTACAACTCCGTCCGGCACCAGAGAAAACGATAAAGAAATTTAAAACCGAAAATAAGGGGAAAGTCAAGTAACAGCGATTTATGGAAACCACCCTGCTCTTCCTTAAAAACACGAAAATTCTCTGAATGGGTAAGGATGACATAGAAGGGTAGCTATGTCATTCCACAGTGTTAAATAAAAAATAAAAGGATTAAAAGGAAAAGGAAAAGGAAAAGAAAAAAGAAAAGGTCCTACCTGTTCCTTCGAAGTTCGAACATATTGCTTGTATCCTTCCCTTCTACAAACGAGGACAAGGCAGTCTAGGATTTTACGCACCAAAATCCGACCCTAAAGGACAGTATAGGTGCCTCCACGTGTCATTTTTCTCTCGAAGGATGGACCTAGTGGTCTCCTTGAATTGAAATGTTAACTCAGACTGGGGCGCGGATATTTTCGTGGATTTTCAATGCTGACATGTACTCTCGTTTCGTGTTAGAGAGGGAAGGTGTAGATTCCCTCATGCATGCGTGGAATGTTCTCGTCCACTGTTGTTCCCGGGGACACGTGATGATCAGCTGGGCCGGGACTCTGATGTGTCGCGTGGGCCCCATCAATATATCTATCCTCCTCTCGCGATTCGGCCTCGAATATTCGGCCCGATTTTATTATTATTTCATTAACTAAAATTAATTTTTAATAGGTAAAGTAATGATAAGAATAGTAAAGAAATGAATTAAAAAAAAGAGAGGAAGTGTGGGGGGAACAGCTCGTCGTGGGCGCTCGTGGAGTGACCACCGCGACGACTGCAGGAATTGACGAGATGATCTCTGTATTTGGGATGGGTAGCCTCCAACGTGTTAACGTGGCACACCCACGTGAATCATCCGATGTGGCGTGATATCGTCCACGTGGAGCTATCAGACGAAATGAATTTACAACCAGAATCAAGATACCAAGCTAATGAATGCAGAGAATACCCAAAACAGCCCTGATCTACTTTATTGCGTGGTGGCCTGGTGCCTGGTGGGGTGGTGGGGCCGTGGGAAAGGAGGTTCTCTTCGAACTTACACCTGGAGAGGTGAGTAATTGCATCTGCATCACTGCATGTGGGTAAGGGGTAACATATGAAAAGTTCACTTTGAACGATGTGGAGTGTTTACGGCTATAAACTGCAAACTATACAGTAGAGAAAGAATTTTGGCTACCAATTGTGGGAGAGGAGTTTTTGACCACAAAAGCAATAGGGCGAGGACAGGCGGTGGAGCAGGATACGTTGATCGTACAAAGGGAGTGATTTTGATTTCTGATGCTGTGATGCAGTACCCCCTAAACCAAAAGCAGAGAAGAGAAAAAAAGATCACAATTGAATAAAGCAATTTCTTACTTTTATATATAAAAAATAAAGCAACACCATTTATACCATAATAATGTAGATGTAGATGTAGATGTAGAATAAACCCTTATCTAGTTATCTGTAGCTTGCCACGTGGTTATTATGGAATGGAGGTCTAAAAGTTTCTCATCAATGCTTCCCTCCTAGAGAAACTCAGAATGAATTACATAATGTGCTTGATAATTTGATATGGTCCATCAAGCCCATCAAGCTTCTAGTGTAGCCTGGCCCTTCTCTCGATTAAATTAAGCAACTAAGACATGTATTTCAGAATTTTTACCAGCCCTATTTCACATTATTTTATTAATTAAAATAAGAAAATTAAAGAAAGACACGCCCCACTTCACAGTCTGCGTACTATCTCCCATGTTCGATGAAATTTCATATTTTGTCCCATTTCTGATTTTTTGTTTACATACTTGCTAAATTCATCTTATTCATGTCATCATATTTCCTGTATACCCGGCCCACTTTACAGATCACAGTAAGTGTTGTTCAGAAATTGACTTAAGAGGCAATGAGTCTTTTGGATGTATTATCAAAACCACTTAAGGTAACATGTGAGAGTAGTACTGAGGCTCACGACACGAGGAGCTTGGGAGGCAATAAAGATGTTTTATCACTCAAGAAGGATAACAAAAGAAAATAGGCAATTGAATTGCAGTTTCATTCACCCTTTTCCCTGCTTGGTCATAAACTGAGAAACGCTTGGGTTGTCCTTTTAGCGAGCGAGCAACACCCTTGCATTCCAGCCCTGAATAAACTTTTTGGAGAGGAAGGTCTAGAATCCTTTCCGGAAGAGGGAAGACACTCTCTTTTCTTCACCCACTTGGCAGTGATGAAGTGGCAAGAAGACCGTTTCAATATCGGTTACAGGTGTAATAATATATTAATACCTCTGTTCAATTCAAATTTCATACCCGTTTGGCTTATTGTGAAAGTTGGACGTTTGGCCTGTAGTTATAGTCAATTAACTAAGACATCGGTTCTAATTAATTAATAGGGGTGTGAGCAGGGGGGATGTATGCTAATATATGGAATCGAGGGTTTGACAGTTGTTGGGATAGCTGAAGATCATCTCTCTTTATGGTTGGATTGGTTTTGCCCATTAGTTAAAGTGAACAAGGGCGTTGCCCTTGTCGTCGCTTATGAATTTTGGTGGGATAAGGCCTGGTTTTCATTTTCCATGTGTTGGACGCCAGAAGCTATTGCGGCATTGCCTATTGATGAGCAGCAACATTTTATACGACAACTTTACTATATTGCTGCCCAGATTAGCCGAGGGCAACGAAGTAAATTCGCCCTTAAGTCTCAAAGACAGGCTGAAGGCTTTGAGGATTTAGGGGAGGACTGTAGGCCGAGGTCGAGGACTGTAGGCCGAGGCAAGATGTTCCCTTCTGAGTACAATAGAAGTCAAGAACTACGGGTTGTTGGCTCGGTGACGAGGCCCCTAGAGATTTGAGATACTGCAAAACAAGAGATGTCATAGGCCTTGGGTGAAGACCCGAGGCGGAGACTCCGATGCTCAAGTTAGTACGAGGTATATAAGGTGGGGAAAGGTGCAGACGAGGTCTCAATGGTAGTCCTCGGATGTGCTGGGTCCCTAGGAGTAAATGATAATGAGAGCGGTACGAAGTCAAGAGACAGGTCCTTGCGAGTATGCCTAATTGCTCCGCGGTTGGCTCCGTACAAAGGCAGCGGGGCTCCCCCTACTGTGGTTGGCACTGTCAGGCATTAGTGAGTCGGACATCTTAGCCCGTAATGGGCGAGGTCTGGCTAGCCCACATCACTTGCCCCCCACTCCCGAGGCTGAGGTGAGGTCTTGACTTCGGCTAGTAATGGAGATGATAGTCGAGGTAAGGCCTTAGCTTCGGTCGTCCGGAGTAGCGACAGTTATGCCTTTGGGTTCGTTATCCGAGGGGTATTCTGTAGTGGCATCACTTTTACCTCGTATGCATCTTCTCTCCTCATCGGTTTGAAGATGCGTGTGGTGTGAATGCCTCAGGTTAGCGGGGATGGTCTGTGTCACGTACGGTCAAGTCGCGTCAGGGGTCCACCGTGAGGAGAGCGATCACCCAAATAAGCGTGTTTTTGCTGGGCTGAGCAGTTCGCTCAATGGGTTACGATGGGCGGGCCCCATGGTTCACCCAGTAGGTTGTGGCGGGTGAGCCTCACGATTCGCCCAGTGTCGTTTCGTCTTTCGAGGGCAGTCCCTGTGACTGTTGAATCCGTAGTGATCTGAGCCGTTGCTTGGGCATCGTTTCGTCTTCCGAGGGTGAGTGCCGAGTGGCGCATTATGGTTGGATAGTGGAAGCGGAGGTGCCTCAGCCATCGGATCTAGCAAGATCTGGGTCGTCCGTTTCCCCGTCATTTGAACTTAGGCACCCTTGCTATCCAGTGAGCATAGCTCCCAGGTTCTCAATCCTTCAAGACACCCCGTCTTCACCTTCATCACCATCTAGGTAATTCACGATGTCTTTCTCAAACTTTGGCCCTAAGTGCCATGAACTCCCAAACACCTCAGGAGGGAGCTCTCCTCAGACCCCGTCTCCTTTCTCCTCGTTAGGTTCCTGGGCCATTGCCCCTCATCGGTAGGAGATAGCACTATTGAGGGAAAGGGTAGCCATTGGGGGTGTCGGGGGCTACCACCGGGGCAATGACTCTCCCCATGAAAGTGCTACGTCGGCATCGTTGAGGGAGCCCGAAGGGTCTCCTCTAATCGAGGGGGAAGATGTTGTAGAGCTTGTCGTTGGATCGGTGGAAGGGAGCACTGCCCGAAGGGTGGCTGACGCTGGTGTCCCACGCTTAGAGTTTGACAACTCCTTAGAGGTGGGCCAGGTCAAATCCCTGGCGAGGAGATTCCACATACCCCGATCCTATGATCTTAGGGTTCCCAACGTAGGTGATTAACCGTGGACCCCTGACGAGGGGGAAATCTGTATTTACTAGCATTTTTTAGAGTCTGGCCTTAGATTTCCCCTCCCTTCCTTAGTCTCTGAGTTACTGGAGTGGTATGGTATCACTATCAGTCAACTCGTCCCCAACACCCTTAGGACCATAATAGTGGTGTTGGTGTGGGCTCGGCTTTGGGATGTAGAGCTGACACCAAAAATGTTTCAGGCCATGTTCATGCCGAGGAAGCACACTTCCAAGGTCAACATGTACCACTTCCATACCTGGAGAGGGAAGCCGATGCACAACCCCTCATCCATCCACGAGTGGAAGGACAAATTCCTCTATGTCTCCTGCCCCGAAGGATAGAGGTTCAGGTTTGAGTGGGGGGAGGCCTGCATAGTTGTTGAAAGATGTCCCCCTCCACTCCAAGACGAGGAGGCTACTACCATGGCTCATTTGCATGTGATGGGGACAGCCCAGGCGAAGCCGTTGGGGGAGGAGGAGGTTCCCCTAGTGTTCACTAGGATTAGCCCTACTCCCCTCAGTAGGAGAGGTTTTGTAGTTACTTTGCACGCCTTCAACGTCTTCGGTTGGTTATGCTGACTGTTTTCTTTTGTTGTTCACAGAGGTACCAATGGATGCTAAGCAGCGACTACTCAAGAAGGCCCACATGAAGCAGGTTGGGAAGAAAGCAAGGGCACAGACACCGAAGCGGCCTGGCGAAGAGGTTGCCCCCCTATCTCAGCGAAGGGGGGAAATCAACACGTTCCTGCCAAGGGGAAACAACTGGTGGTGGTGCCCCAGAAGCTCACTGGGGGAACCAA